TACAAGGATAGACCGTAATGTGTCTTCGGTATTTCAAATCAGCATTAGATAATGATTCAATGATAATGGATGATGTAGGTAATCGATTTTAACAATGATTAATATGATTTAAGCATGGAGATGTACACTTTGTGTTGCAGAGGTAACCTTCCTCACAATTTACGACAGGAAAATTATCATCTGTGCAATTTATATATGATATATGAGAATTGCAAAAGAATTCTGATCCTGCGCATTGGTTAGGCGTCTGAAGATTTGGAGCCGATGAAATTGTAGTTGTGGGTGCAGTTGAAGCCGTTGAAGTTGAAGTTCCACAAGTAGCCTTAGAAGCCTTTACACAAATTCGCGAAGCGGAATCAAAGAGTAGGTTAAGAGGACATGAAGTTTTTAAAAGGTAAAATCTACCATAAACTCCTAGACATTCATAGTATTTAGAGCAATCTTCTGCATTTGGGAATCTTCCTGATGTCACACAAGTAAAACCTCCATTCTGACTCAATACTGTCTTCGACGAAATTAGATGCACAAATGTTACGATCGCAATCTGTAAAAGAGATACTTAATTATTTACAAGTAAATTCTAAAAATATTGTACTTTATTCCCCACGCGTTGATCACGAGACACCTACAAAAATTATCTATAGGATTTAAACTTGATCGATGTGACTCTTAGCCTATAATTTCTTCGTATTTCCTCAATTATTCTTCTGCATGGAAGATCCTTACTGAAATGTTTTATTACAGTATCTTTGGAATTCATTACCTGATTTCAAGCAAATATTTATAAATAAATAGCTACTTTCCTTGAAAACCTACGTAATATTTAACAGAATACTAATAAATTAAGAACGTGGCCTGTACTAGATAAAAAGATTTTTATTAATGTTTTGGATATTAAAATATAGATCCTCTTGGAGGTGTAGATCCACTTGTAGGCGTAGATCCTCTTGGAGGTGTAGATCCACTTGTAGGCGTAGATCCTCTTGGAGGTGTAGATCCACTTGTAGGCGTAGATCCTCTTGGAGGTGTAGATCCACTTGTAGGCGTAGATCCTCTTGGAGGTGTAGATCCACTTGTAGGCGTAGATCCTCTTGGAGGTGTAGATCCACTTGTAGGCGTAGATCCTCTTGGAGGTGTAGATCCACTTGTAGGCGTAGATCCTCTTGGAGGTGTAGATCCACTTGTAGGCGTAGATCCTCTTGGAGGTGTAGATCCACTTGTAGGCGTAGATCCTCTTGGAGGTGTAGATCCACTTGTAGGCGTAGATCCTCTTGGAGGTGTAGATCCACTTGTAGGCGTAGATCCTCTTGGAGGTGTAGATCCACTTGTAGGCGTAGATCCTCTTGGAGGTGTAGATCCACTTGTAGGCGTAGATCCTCTTGGAGGTGTAGATCCACTTGTAGGCGTAGATCCTCTTGGAGGTGTAGATCCACTTGTAGGCGTAGATCCTCTTGGAGGTGTAGATCCACTTGTAGGCGTAGATCCTCTTGGAGGTGTAGATCCACTTGTAGGCGTAGATCCTCTTGGAGGTGTAGATCCACTTGTAGGCGTAGATCCTCTTGGAGGTGTAGATCCACTTGTAGGCGTAGATCCTCTTGGAGGTGTAGATCCACTTGTAGGCGTAGATCCTCTTGGAGGTGTAGATCCACTTGTAGGCGTAGATCCTCTTGGAGGTGTAGATCCACTTGTAGGCGTAGATCCTCTTGGAGGTGTAGATCCACTTGTAGGCGTAGATCCTCTTGGAGGTGTAGATCCACTTGTAGGCGTAGATCCTCTTGGAGGTGTAGATCCACTTGTAGGCGTAGATCCTCTTGGAGGTGTAGATCCACTTGTAGGCGTAGATCCTCTTGGAGGTGTAGATCCACTTGTAGGCGTAGATCCTCTTGGAGGTGTAGATCCACTTGTAGGCGTAGATCCTCTTGGAGGTGTAGATCCACTTGTAGGCGTAGATCCTCTTGGAGGTGTAGATCCACTTGTAGGCGTAGATCCTCTTGGAGGTGTAGATCCACTTGTAGGCGTAGATCCTCTTGGAGGTGTAGATCCACTTGTAGGCGTAGATCCTCTTGGAGGTGTAGATCCACTTGTAGGCGTAGATCCTCTTGGAGGTGTAGATCCACTTGTAGGCGTAGATCCTCTTGGAGGTGTAGATCCACTTGTAGGCGTAGATCCTCTTGGAGGTGTAGATCCACTTGTAGGCGTAGATCCTCTTGGAGGTGTAGATCCACTTGTAGGCGTAGATCCTCTTGGAGGTGTAGATCCACTTGTAGGCGTAGATCCTCTTGGAGGTGTAGATCCACTTGTAGGCGTAGATCCTCTTGGAGGTGTAGATCCACTTGTAGGCGTAGATCCTCTTGGAGGTGTAGATCCACTTGTAGGCGTAGATCCTCTTGGAGGTGTAGATCCACTTGTAGGCGTAGATCCTCTTGGAGGTGTAGATCCACTTGTAGGCGTAGATCCTCTTGGAGGTGTAGATCCACTTGTAGGCGTAGATCCTCTTGGAGGTGTAGATCCACTTGTAGGCGTAGATCCTCTTGGAGGTGTAGATCCACTTGTAGGCGTAGATCCTCTTGGAGGTGTAGATCCACTTGTAGGCGTAGATCCTCTTGGAGGTGTAGATCCACTTGTAGGCGTAGATCCTCTTGGAGGTGTAGATCCACTTGTAGGCGTAGATCCTCTTGGAGGTGTAGATCCACTTGTAGGCGTAGATCCTCTTGGAGGTGTAGATCCACTTGTAGGCGTAGATCCTCTTGGAGGTGTAGATCCACTTGTAGGCGTAGATCCTCTTGGAGGTGTAGATCCACTTGTAGGCGTAGATCCTCTTGGAGGTGTAGATCCACTTGTAGGCGTAGATCCTCTTGGAGGTGTAGATCCACTTGTAGGCGTAGATCCTCTTGGAGGTGTAGATCCACTTGTAGGCGTAGATCCTCTTGGAGGTGTAGATCCACTTGTAGGCGTAGATCCTCTTGGAGGTGTAGATCCACTTGTAGGCGTAGATCCTCTTGGAGGTGTAGATCCACTTGTAGGCGTAGATCCTCTTGGAGGTGTAGATCCACTTGTAGGCGTAGATCCTCTTGGAGGTGTAGATCCACTTGTAGGCGTAGATCCTCTTGGAGGTGTAGATCCACTTGTAGGCGTAGATCCTCTTGGAGGTGTAGATCCACTTGTAGGCGTAGATCCTCTTGGAGGTGTAGATCCACTTGTAGGCGTAGATCCTCTTGGAGGTGTAGATCCACTTGTAGGCGTAGATCCTCTTGGAGGTGTAGATCCACTTGTAGGCGTAGATCCTCTTGGAGGTGTAGATCCACTTGTAGGCGTAGATCCTCTTGGAGGTGTAGATCCACTTGTAGGCGTAGATCCTCTTGGAGGTGTAGATCCACTTGTAGGCGTAGATCCTCTTGGAGGTGTAGATCCACTTGTAGGCGTAGATCCTCTTGGAGGTGTAGATCCACTTGTAGGCGTAGATCCTCTTGGAGGTGTAGATCCACTTGTAGGCGTAGATCCTCTTGGAGGTGTAGATCCACTTGTAGGCGTAGATCCTCTTGGAGGTGTAGATCCACTTGTAGGCGTAGATCCTCTTGGAGGTGTAGATCCACTTGTAGGCGTAGATCCTCTTGGAGGTGTAGATCCACTTGTAGGCGTAGATCCTCTTGGAGGTGTAGATCCACTTGTAGGCGTAGATCCTCTTGGAGGTGTAGATCCACTTGTAGGCGTAGATCCTCTTGGAGGTGTAGATCCACTTGTAGGCGTAGATCCTCTTGGAGGTGTAGATCCACTTGTAGGCGTAGATCCTCTTGGAGGTGTAGATCCACTTGTAGGCGTAGATCCTCTTGGAGGTGTAGATCCACTTGTAGGCGTAGATCCTCTTGGAGGTGTAGATCCACTTGTAGGCGTAGATCCTCTTGGAGGTGTAGATCCACTTGTAGGCGTAGATCCTCTTGGAGGTGTAGATCCACTTGTAGGCGTAGATCCTCTTGGAGGTGTAGATCCACTTGTAGGCGTAGATCCTCTTGGAGGTGTAGATCCACTTGTAGGCGTAGATCCTCTTGGAGGTGTAGATCCACTTGTAGGCGTAGATCCTCTTGGAGGTGTAGATCCACTTGTAGGCGTAGATCCTCTTGGAGGTGTAGATCCACTTGTAGGCGTAGATCCTCTTGGAGGTGTAGATCCACTTGTAGGCGTAGATCCTCTTGGAGGTGTAGATCCACTTGTAGGCGTAGATCCTCTTGGAGGTGTAGATCCACTTGTAGGCGTAGATCCTCTTGGAGGTGTAGATCCACTTGTAGGCGTAGATCCTCTTGGAGGTGTAGATCCACTTGTAGGCGTAGATCCTCTTGGAGGTGTAGATCCACTTGTAGGCGTAGATCCTCTTGGAGGTGTAGATCCACTTGTAGGCGTAGATCCTCTTGGAGGTGTAGATCCACTTGTAGGCGTAGATCCTCTTGGAGGTGTAGATCCACTTGTAGGCGTAGATCCTCTTGGAGGTGTAGATCCACTTGTAGGCGTAGATCCTCTTGGAGGTGTAGATCCACTTGTAGGCGTAGATCCTCTTGGAGGTGTAGATCCACTTGTAGGCGTAGATCCTCTTGGAGGTGTAGATCCACTTGTAGGCGTAGATCCTCTTGGAGGTGTAGATCCACTTGTAGGCGTAGATCCTCTTGGAGGTGTAGATCCACTTGTAGGCGTAGATCCTCTTGGAGGTGTAGATCCACTTGTAGGCGTAGATCCTCTTGGAGGTGTAGATCCACTTGTAGGCGTAGATCCTCTTGGAGGTGTAGATCCACTTGTAGGCGTAGATCCTCTTGGAGGTGTAGATCCACTTGTAGGCGTAGATCCTCTTGGAGGTGTAGATCCACTTGTAGGCGTAGATCCTCTTGGAGGTGTAGATCCACTTGTAGGCGTAGATCCTCTTGGAGGTGTAGATCCACTTGTAGGCGTAGATCCTCTTGGAGGTGTAGATCCACTTGTAGGCGTAGATCCTCTTGGAGGTGTAGATCCACTTGTAGGCGTAGATCCTCTTGGAGGTGTAGATCCACTTGTAGGCGTAGATCCTCTTGTAGATGTAGGAGTAGGTCCTCTTGTAGGTGTGGATCCAGTTGTAGATGTAGATCCAGTTATAGGTGTAGAATCAGTTGTAGATGTAGATCCAGTTATAGGTGTAGAATCAGTTGTAGATGTAGATCCAGTTATAGGTGTAGAATCAGTTGTAGATGTAGATCCAGTTATAGGTGTAGAATCAGTTGTAGATGTAGATCCAGTTATAGGTGTAGAATCAGTTGTAGATGTAGATCCAGTTATAGGTGTAGAATCAGTTGTAGATGTAGATCCAGTTATAGGTGTAGAATCAGTTTTAGATGTAGATTCAGTTGATGTAGATGTAGATTCAGTTGATGTAGATGTAGATTCAGTTGATGTAGATGTAAATTCGGTTGATGTAGATGTAGATTCGGTTGATGTAGATGTAGGCTCAGTTGTAGATGTAAATGAAGTTTCACAAACAGCATCGTCTTCGCTTAAACAAAATCGCGAATACGAGTCAAAGAGTAGCTTATTCGGGCACTTCATGTCGCCGAGAATCAATTGGCCAGAACGTTGTACACATTGATAATATTTAGAGCAGTCATCTGGATTTGGGAATCTCCCTACTGTCACACAAGTGAAGCCTGAAGATTGAGTGAATACTGTCTTCGACGAAATTAACTGAAGAAATGTCACGATCACGATCTGTAACAAAGAAATTCTTCATTGTTCTTTTTGCATAGAAAATCCTTCCTGAAATGTCTGATTATGGTATCTTTCGAATTCATTACCTGATTTCAAGAAAATATTTAATAGGAATTCTAGCCACTCTCCTTGGAAACCTACGCCATACTTTAACACAATATTGCGAAATAAATAATTTGTCTGTTCCGCATATTAAGTCTTAATATTTTTGGATATTACGTAATATTTCAGGTTCAGACGTAAGAGCGTATAAAATTGTCTGGTTGTATTCTAGTATGTTTAGTCGTGCAATATGGTAGAATGTTACAGATGTTTCAGAAATACGTTTTGCCTTCATTATTAAATCGAAAGTCGGAGAAATTTTACCACAACGAACGAAATGTGTAATTTCAAGCAAATAAATGGTTACAAATAAAGTATAATTACGAATATAAACAATACAAAAGACTACATTCGGTGTAACAAATGTCAGACTATAAAGATATTACGTAATTATAACAAAATTTTATGCACGACAGTTTTTTTAAGTAGTGAAGGAGTTATTGAAACCAAATGATCTATAATGACGTCACTGAGTATGAACACGTTATTTGTGGTTGCATTTACATAGCTACAATATTTTTGGTAAGAAAATAATAATTTATATCGTTATATTATAAATTAATAAACTAGTAAAATTGTTTGATGAGAAGCAGTGATTTTTTTAACACAACATGTCATCTAAATATGCACACATACTGCAGCGAATAATATAAAGACATTTCAATATACTAAGCCATTACAAACATCAGCACTGGCATTTAGTGAATTAGCGAATCAAGTGTTAATGTTAAAAATGACCACGGTTAACTTTGTAGCACAGTTGGTAACGGCGAGCAACTGACTTGTAAGGCTTAAATTTCGTTTAACAATTTATATAAATCTGTTTGGTACACTTCGTATAGAAATCTAACTACACTGCAAAACTGTCTTGTATAAGATACTTATATTTTAAAACTTATATTTTTTGACTAAATGGAAATTATTGAATGTTGAAAGTTTAACTTACCGTAAACTTTATCGTCTGTGATTTCTGCATTTTAAAATCTGATTAACTAATATTTTTTTCCAATATCAGTTAGTTCCAGGAGCAATGTTCAGAGTTATCTGAGATGTGTGAATATGCAGTTGTTTAAAAACCAATTGCAGAAATTTATTTTATATAATTTTTAAATAACATGTCATAAATTTATTGCTGTGTGCTGACGGCTTTAATACGATCTCTTAATATCTCCCATTGTAATTAACTTTATTCGAATTTCTGTTTTCCTAGTTCATGAGAGTGTTCTTGAAAATATTTGTCACAGGTTACGAAATATTATAGCAACTAGTAAACAACGAAACTGGAGAAATGCAGTCAGTACCAGAATATTCGCAGTTCCCACTTGCATTCTTGAAATATTTCCATTACGATTGGTCCTGGATCAGACAGGAAACCACATCAAACTAACCAACTAAGTGAACTGTATTTTAAAGTGGCTCGGAGGATTTATTTTCCTACTGGAACATACATAATATCTCGTGTGTTCTTTACTACGTGCATTTGGTATTATAAAATCAAATTTTATCTAAATCCGTCCAGTGGCTCCCGATTAGAATTAACTGAAGACGGACAGAGACGACCAGATCATAATGCGTTCTCCCTATTTACTTTGTGCAAGAACGTACAGAAAGGTGGTAAAAGTTATTCACGCCCTCTTAATTATTTATCTTCTTCGTCGAAATGAAACTTTACACAACCGCCACACAAACATTAATTAACATTTGAAAAGAATTAACATTTCAGATATGTTTGTATGTATGTGTGTGTATTTATGTTTACTTCCAGTGCAAAAATTAAATAACGCATTTTAACTAAACATGTGATTTATATCTTAATTGCGTCATGTTTGTGTTTTATTGATACAATATTTTATTTTCCGTCTATACACAAACTTAAAATAATGTTGTTTAAAATTACTTAAAATTATAACATTCTCAGTAGATACTGCATCTTGTTACAAAAAAACAAAAAATGTAACAAGATGCAGTATCTACTGAGAATGTTATAATTTTAAGTAATTTTAAACAACATTATTTTAAGTTTGTGTATAGACGGAAAATAAAATATTGTATAAACATGTGATGTTTTGTTTTAAAGCCACTGAGATCATACAGAAAGGTAAGTTATCCTAAGGAAGTCTTCACACTTCGATATCGAGTGAGGATGATTGCTGTAGTGTAGAATCTAAACATAATAGTAAAACGGCGTAAATATCATTTTTTTTAAATGGCAGAGAATTCCTACGAGGGCCAAAATACATAACAAAATTACTCCTGGGTTTTATTTCCGGTAAAGTTTGTTTTTGTATTTTGGGAACTAAGGACTATGAAAGAACCGAAGCAAAGAGACCTCACGAAGTACCTTCAAACGCAGTATCCTGGGTTTGTTTCTATATCAAAAAGTATTTAATAAATGCGAAATGCATTGTACAAAATGTATTGATATATGCGTTAACGTGTTAGCTGTAAATAAAATATATTTATTAAATACAACGTCCTACTTCATAAACTTATAAATCATGAGATTGCATTGTGTTCTTTATAAAATGGACGTTTGTAATAATGAAGTAGAACGTGATTTAGCCTAGTGGAAACGTACTAGACTCATGTGCGGGTGGTCATGGGATCGAAACTTGGTACAGTGTTGATTAGCCCTTCACATTCCATGTTACTTTTTTACACTGCACAAATAATTATAGCAAGAATGTCGTATATTTCTCCGTGATATCTAACTGTACGGCATTTGATGATTCTGTATCATTTGGTACCCTTTGAATCGATAAGATTAAATGTCTCTGTTCTTTCCTTGAAGTCCAAGGAATCATTAAATTACCTTTTCTTCCTGACATGAATTTCCTTTGATTGGTTAACCTCATTTCCGTCACGTTCCAGCTGGTCTCTCTCTTAAAGAACTGCGTTAGGAGTATAGAATTGCAAGAGACCTTACGAAGGAAGTGGTGTTGGTCTATTTTTATTTACTCTGACAGTATTTTTGGAAACACTGGAGTCTTAATAATATAATTCTTTGGGTTTCGTCCGCTTCTCACTGTAAACAGCGTTAACCACTTGATAATTTTACTGATAAAGTGTAGTGTTTCCTTTGCGGTATGAAGTAAATCCTTTGATATTGTTCAGATCAGCTTCGGTTTAATATTAAATGTATTGTTCCGACGTTTACTTGCACACTCTTGCCAAAAGTTTGTCAACTGAATAAGGTTGACTACTTTATGGACCGAGATTCGAACTGTGTACCCAGAATGCAAATCGTGTGTTCTTCAGCTGAAATGTCTCATTCCATATATCTGTATTTAGTTCCACATTGAAATAGATACAACAAAAGTTGTTTTATCTTCTAAGTCATGATTTTCTGTTACGAAACTTTCTTGCGTCTCTGACCCAAATAGTTACCACACAGTCGGGAACATTGAAACGTCGATGAAACAAGCAAATTTAACTACAGTTTTCTTTTTATTGGTGCAGACAACAATTTGCTGTTTGTTATTACATATCCTTGTTTCATAATTACAGGCCAATTGAAGTACGAAAATGTTACAGTTGGCATATTTAAACTCAGAACATATTTTTTAGTTTTAATACCCGCGTAATTGTCATATTGCATATCGTAATTTAGTAACCATGAT